TCCAGTGCTGGAGTTATGTGGTCATGTTTCCTACTACCAGTTAAAAGTCATAGCACTGAGTTCTGTACCAGCTGCAGTTGGTTCAAAGAAGGCTGTTCCAGGCCAATACGTGGGCAGGGAGGTATTGATCAACGCTTGCTTACTGCCTTAGATGATTATCCGCTGCCTTATGACCATCAAGATTTAAGATACAATGCAATTTTTCCAATCTAATCACGTTAACCATAATCACTACATATTTCGTTAAATGGTAAATAAATATTAAACTGTTATTCTCCCATAAACAATGAAATCTAGACACCTGGATTGGATAAATGACATGCACCCTGATGAAAAACCTCTAAATGGAAAATATGGAAGCTGAAATGTATGGAATTCAAAAGTATAAAAAATTCAATAAATAAATAAGACATTATAAAATAAATATCTACATGAAGAAATACTAGACAACCATGTAATCTGACAATGAAATGATGAAAAAACAGAATTTTATGTAAAATCTAAGCTCAATATTATGACATATTTTTCAAATTCAATTCAAATTCAAAGATACTTTTGTAACAGAATGAAATTACTGTTTTCCACCAAAAGTCATCTTCCCCCTCTCCTCTCACACAGAGCTAGTCTGCATGAAATATTGCCTCAAAGTCTCATGCATTTGCTTCTTAACTGCTTCTTTCCAGCTCACGAGAAGAATGAAGAAAGGACCGCTGTCCGAGTCAATCCGAGTGGGAAGACCGAACCGCGCGAAGATGTGATTCATCAACAGAATAGCTGTTGTTTTCGCTGTGTCATTAGGTGCTGGTAGATATTCAACCCACTTCTGGCACTCGCAAAGTACAGACGCTTCCCTTTTTGCTCCCTTATCTTTTTTCCCAAGGCTCTTTGTCCCGTCTGCCTACAGAGCGCTTCTCTGCATTTCCTCTGGAAATCCCTATTTTTTAGAAATGGATTTAATTAATTGGTCATTCAACACGATTGATAAGATCTTTTCCACGACGAGAACGGAGGAGGGGGCTCCCACGTGCCCTCAAGGGCACATGCAGCGGGATATGCGCTCGATTCCTGGAAGGTCTGGAGGATCGTTTGTCTCTCTCAGCTGTCCATTGAGGACGTCAAAGATATGTGGATATTTGGCCTTATGATCACTGGATTTCTTCTGTTTGGTGTGGGAGGATATCTGGTTTTCTGGAAAATTGGGAAGTCGGGAGCGATTGGAGTGCGACCCGCACCCATGGCAAGCACCGCCCGGGCGGATGCCTCACTGACTGGGACGTTACTCGAGGTGAACCGTAAGCTGGACAATGGCCTTGCTGCGTTGCCGGTATTAGTG